AGGGGAGATAACTGTATAATTGAAAAAGAAGGTAATAAGGTTACTGTCAAATTAACAAATGGTTTATACATTATATCTGAAAGCTAACTCAGTTTATGATAATGTGAAATACCATGACGAATGCATACATTTACTACATAGACGCATGGGGCACATTAACTTCAAGATGCTGCAACAAACTGTTAAGTTGGCAGAGGGAGTAAAATTAAAACCATGCGGAAAATATTTAAACTGCAATGTTTGCAATCAGGAGAAAAGCAAAGTTACTCCAGCAAACAGTCCAAGTCATACACGGTTAAGACAGTCAGTCATCAACGTCTTTCAGTTAAGGGAGAATCCAAATAACAGTCCATAATCATACAAACAGTTCGGTACACAAAGTATGCTAGCAGTTACGCTGATCACTTTACGGCACCTCTAACAGCCAGCTTCCAAACACTCAGATCAGATCAGCATCTAACAGTGATTTTGGCTCCATCTTATAGCCGATTGGGGAAACAGCAACCAATCATATTTACAGCATGATTTAAAGAAACAGACATTGTTACATGATTTATATATTGCCAACCCAACCGTTAGATTATATTTCTAACACTGCCAGATTCTTTTTCAGTAGGCAAGCTGTTGGAACAATGGTAGTACATTTCTGGAAGGCTTTTGAGCAGATAGAAAATTTTCATTGTCAAGCAGCTGCTTTAAAAAAAATAAATCTTATAATACAATACTTGAGCTCCAAAAAGTATTTGGCACCTGATTGTGTTAGGATCACAGCATTCCTTTGACTCCTGTTAAAGATTGGTTGTGACCATATGGGACAAATGCTGCTATCACTCCCAGATAAGCAAACCAACTGAAGGAGCAGGAGGCTAGTAATTATGCTAGCTGCATAATGGTAGTGGTGGGCATGGTAAAGATTATACTGATAGTGATTTACTGGTAGTGATGTAGCCTTTCACAGCAGATGGCAATCAAGTAATGATGAGCATACGGGCTTAATGGTTGTGTTCCAGCTTCCTAGACCAGTCAGAAATCCACCTACACAAACCAATCCGGGACAGGCTAATCAAGAACCTGTTTTACTGGAATGTCTCCAAAATGGATCAGATAGGGATGAAGGACCACCTTTCTTAGACTCCTGTGACACAGACCACAAAAATCAGTTTGCCTGGTTCAGATACAAGATCCCAGCTAGTCTTTGTTCCCTGTGAGTTACCAAGAGGTACACCATAAAGCAGTTCCCTGTTTCTTAAGGTGCTGGCTGCAATTGCTGGTAAAACAGCACCTCTGTAGAAAATTATGCATGGCAATTCAGTCTGAATACTTATTGTTGCTTGATGATACTGATTTATTATTCTGGCAATTGGCAGCTATCTGCCTTTGTTGATTTCTGAAGCCAGCTTTGGGTTCTTGCCTTCATGCACTGTTTAAATTTCCCAGGTGCATCTAGTCACTTTTGCAAGACAGTGCCATAGTAATTTAATGTTTCTAAAATGTTCTGTATTTATAGATGGTATATTTTTCTTGCTACAGTTTTCTCTAAAATTTAATGTAATCTGCCTAGTTAACTGTATATGAAGTAAGTTTATTTGTCCAGAACAGATTTACATTCAAAGGCATTTTATTTAGAAAAGGCTTTACATTCTCTACAATTTAAAGCTATTGTGACAGCATTTCGTATCATGTTGCTATCAGATATCACTTTCTGTTATACTTTTGTCTATGATTTGAAAAAAATATATCACAATTTAAGTACAGATTTTGCTTACTATTTTGGTATTCGTCTCTAAGATAAATGAGCATCCAAAGTACTCAACAAACTTTTATTTAGATTGTTCAGAAGTTTTGACAGCTACATTAAAATGGAAAAATAAAAATATTTCAGCTGGCTAGAAAACATATCCTAATGTAATATATACATTAAGATCATGGAGAATCATAACTCCATTTGTGTTTTTATATATCTTTCAAGTTGGATCCATATTTAACAATACTTGCAGTTGTGTTACATGAAAATTGAAGGGACTTAAGTTAATAATCAGCAACTTTTCATGTTATTTTAATGGAAATAAAGGATGATTGAGTACAGATCCAGCTTTTATGTATGGAAAACCATTTCCTATTATCTAATCTGACAAAGTTGGAATTTCTTAATTTCAGTTTGTAGGTGATAGAATTTGCACCTTATAGGTTTGGTTTGGTTTATTGGATTTATATGCCGCCCTTCTCTCAAGGATTCAGGGCGGCGTACAACATTAAAAAAAACACATATTACAAAAGTTAAAAAAAAAAAGTTAAAAAAAAGTTTAGAAAAAGCCAAAAAAAATTGGCTTGTCTATTTTCTGCAATAATGAAAACACATAAATGGATAATGCAGTTGGTTAGAATATTAGTTCCCATAGTATCTCTTGAACAATATAAGAGCAAAATTTTAATTTATTTTGTATAGCCACCCATTACACATTTGTAACTCTGGGCAGCTCATATAGAGTAATTAAACAACCCAGCAAAAAAACCAACACAGTAAAAACAACTCATTTAAAATAGATTAAAACAAATTAAAACCAGAAAGTATAATAAGCAGGCAAGTGCAACTCATGCATCAATCAATACAGTCGTTTAGCATAACTGGATCTCCCAGGACCATTACAGAGCCATGTCTTTAGAGTCTTGGAACCAATGTAACCTCTGGGGTGTGATGTTCTAAAGCAGGCCTGTCAAAGTCGCAGCACGCAGGCTGGATGCGTCACGTGCTGGCTACGGCCATGCCCGGTTTAGTGAAGGGGAAACGTCCCGATATGTCACGTGACACCGCTGTGACGCGGTTAGTTTGACACCCGTGTTCTAAAGGCTGGGCAGAAAAGACTCTCCTTCTGGGTCCCATCAGATAAGACAACATGGGAATGGGGAGTATTCCTTGTAAAACATTAACCAATGAGAAGAATCACTGCCAGCATTTTACAGAAGTAAATTGACTAGTCTGAGTTGCTGAATCATTAAAAGCTTTGGCTATTAATCCAACTTCACCTTTTTGAGGCAATATAAAGTTAATTTGTAGAATGAAATATAGAGGATACAAAATTAAAATATGGCAATTTTTTAACTGGTCATGTTCTTGGCTAACATTCTTCAAAGAGCAGTGAAAATTGTATTAAGAGCTTATCCTCTCCACTTAACTTGAATAACATCCATAGTTCTCACAGTATCCAGAGAATAATTAATATACAGCAAACATATTGATTTGCACGAATTTGCTGAGAAAGTGCAAATGTTGCCTTCCGAGGTTGTGTTTGAGAGAAGAGTTTTCTCTTTTAAACTTGAACTCATCTTCCATATTTATTTTGGCGACATGGATGTTTTGGCAGCATAAAATTTCAGTTTGGAAATTTAGAAATTTAATCCTTTTCACTTGGAGCTCTGTGATACAGTTCTGCAGTTTTACTGGATTAATCAGGCTTCTCCAGTTTTATTCCAGTGAAACTGTGTTTTTTCTGATCCAAATTCTAAACGATTTATCCCCTTTTTAACAGCTAATAATGATTGGCAAAGGTCTTGGAGAGTAAAAGCTGTATTTTCATGGGTGTCTTTACCTCTCTCCTATAGCAAAGTTCAGGCTCGCAGAGCTTTCTCTGCTTACCTGCAGCGGGTCCAGCTGCGTCTGATGAAAGAGGCTGGTGATGAGGTCCACAACCCAGTCTGGGCTGCCAAGGAAGATGAGCAGATGGTAAGAAATGGTGTGCTTGCCCAGTACTTTTCAGGAAGGGACCCAGCTGTTCCTACTCAGCATTCCTGAATCAGAGTCAGTAGGGAGCTGATTCCTCTCAGCTAGGGCTGAGCAGAACTGCTGAACGTTTAACCATTTGCAATGTTAACACATCTTACCTTTCTCCATAATTTAAAACAATTTGAATGCCTCTGTTTGATCCTGTCTAGTTTTTGATGTGCAGAACAAGTAGAAGTGTGTTTGGAGTCTAATAGAGATTAGGTTTAGCTGAATAGAGCCTGGCTAAAGTGATAGCCGGTTTAGAGTGCTATATTTCTTTTGCATTTAGTTCCCCATGACCTCTTCTTAAAATCTGTATATAACTTGGCTACCAAACATATATCTGAGTTGTTTTTCTATTTCCCCCAATCACATCACTTTGGGTGTTTTATATAAAGTACTGGATTTATAGCACTTAATGAGATTGCTCCACATTTCTAGTCTTTGTCATCTTAGCCCAAATGGAGACTTTGTGAAAACAGGCAGTGCGTATTGAGCCAATCTAGCTCAAAGATTAAAAACCTTATGTCAGAAATAAGGAATAATCAGTTTGCCTCAGTGGAAAATGTTACCCCACTCTTTCCAAGTGGAAAATTGAAACTGGCTTTCTAAGAGCTACTTTGTCTGCTCTGCTGTGAAAAATAATATTTAGAGTAACAGTTCAGACCAATCTAATATAATGCTAATGAGAGGTAAATTGTGAAATGTAATGGTTTGGCTACGAAACAGTTCATTTACATGTTTAGTAGGGCATCTAGCCAAAAGTAAATCCAAACTGGAGACAGGATGTGTTTGAAATCAAACACCATAGCAGGCAGCTTAATATTTATTTTTCAGGGAGAGTATTTCTTCTCTACCATTATCTGGTAACAAAGAAGGAAGAAATAATAATAATGCAGTCCTTAAAGTAAGATAGTATGACCAAAAGTAATTCAAGTAATGAATAATGGCGGCAAAAGTATACCTAACCAAAATGACATGCAAAAATCTGCTATCCTTCAGATATGTGATTTTTGTCTGTGGCGAATAAACAGATAAAATAATATAATAGACAGGTTAATAGACAGCAATAATAGACAATAGCATTGTACATGCTTTAAAATGATTTAGAACATGGGTGTACAACCTTGGGAACTTTAAGACTGTGGACTTCAACTCTCAGAATTCCCCCACCAGCCATGTCAAAAGTCCATGAGTCTTAGTTTCCAGTTTTGGACATCCCTGATTTAGAAGATGGTTTTAGAACGCGTGGGAGTACTCCTCCTCTCTACCGTTCCATACAAGCCTGAAGGAAAGAGGCGGATTTAATGAATTGACTCATTAAAGCAACTATGAAACTTAATGTGAAATTCAAAGCAGCTGTGTCTTTTCAAGCTCTCATGGAAGCCTGAAAAAAATACACAGTGCTTGAACGAGCAGAAGGGATGTACCACACATGTTCTTGAGCAGTTCTTCCAAAGCGTGCCCAGATTTGATAGATAACGATAAAATATTTGAGATCGCACATTCCATTTTTTTAAACACACAATTTTCTTTACAATGTGGTTTCTTTTAAACAAATTTATATATACTTTTAATAAAATTGAATCTTTGGATCCTGTCTTCAGTGTTGTTTCTTCATCGCAGGAACTGGTGGTTCGTTTTTTGAAGCGAGCAGCCAGTAATCTTCAACAGTCGTTGAGGATGCTACTTCCAAGTCGCCGCCTGGCTCTCTATGACCGTAGGCGCATCTTAGCTCACCAGCTGGGTGAATTCATCATCTGCTATAACAGGGTGAGTATTGACTATGCTAGCTGAGTGGTGTTGCACCCAAACAATATTAATTCACAAGTTCTAGAGAGCATCATTCTATTTTTAGTTTTATTTTGCTTTAATGAATCTCATTGTATCCAATGTGAGAAGAAGAAAAAGCAGCAGCATAAGTAATTCACTCTTCAACTTTTCAAATGTTTAGTGCAATGTTGGAGTGAATTTTTTAAAATCTAATTTGCAAGTTATTTATGAGAGACAGCTAACTTCTGGAACTTGCACCTTGTAATGTCAGATCTGCAATTCTGTTTCAAGCATTGTAATGAAAGCAGAAGGTTCTTCATTTAAGATTTTGTTTTTCTTGCATCTTTGTGATTTGGCATAAATAGATAACTCCAAAACATGAAGACAAGTATTGATGTTTTGTTTTTTTAATTGAATTACATAAGTAACAAAATCATTCTCTGAAGTACCTGTTTCCTTTGACAAACTAGTAATATTTTCAGATATTTTTATTGCAACAACTTTGACAGTAACTTTTATTTATGTTTTTGAAATACAAATGAATTTGTTTACTAAAACTGATGTTCAGATTCATTGCTCTTATAAAGAAACAAAATCATGACAGTTTTGAAACTATTGGTCAAAATGTGTCTAGTCATTTTGCTATTTTTGTTGGGTTTTTTAAAATATGATTATTCTCCAGTAAAAACTAATTTGAATGGCCAGGGTTATTTAATAATATGTCTTTCAGGGAAAGTAGAAATTATAATGACTGATTTCATGTTTTGCAAGAATAGCAATAGCACTAAAATTGTGCTTGATTGATACTGGGAACTAGCATATGATATCTGAATACTACAAGAAACTGGTTTCTTTTGATACCTTTTACAAATATGTATAGTATATTGGCCAATAGTTTGCCTTTACTAAGTTTTTGAGCAAAAAATCATTTAGAAATACAGCAAATCATTAAATTACCTATCTCCTGAAGTACAGTTTTTATTTTAAAGGGCTAAAATTGTGATAATTAAATATATATTTTAAATATTGAGAGTTCATCTAAAGCTTTTTTTGTGTTGAATAAGATGAGCAACCTCTTTCTTTTGTTATATTTTGAATATTTATTGTATCTCCTATCTGATTCAATAAGTAGTAGCTTGATATTTTTAGTATACAGGAGAGAAGTTGAGATGGTATCATTGGATGTTTACATTCTTTGAGATATCATTTAAAACTACTATTCTTTATTCATATAGGTTAAAAATTAGAAATGTGGGCATGTTGCTTGTCGGCATCTTACTGATGCTGTTGTCTAGGCTTTGCAATGAATATCAGTAGAGTAACTATTTGCTTTAAAAGGATATTTGCACTGAGTACCATTTCCCTAAGTATTCTTCCAAGCATCCTAATACTACAAAACATATTCATAGAAAAGGTGATTTGAGAGATTACTCTGTTGTTGCTGATTTTTAGGAAACAGATCAAATGTCTCAGAAAAAGGCAATGAAGAAACAGGAGGAAGAGGAAGAAGAGGGGGTAGATGAAGAAGGCTTTCAGGAATTTATCATTAAGGCAAGGTATGAATTACTGGAAGGCATTTAGAGCAATAATTATATTACCTCCTATTGGAGACCAATTTGAAACTTAAGGTATTGCTTTTTTATTCTTCTGTATGTCAGATGATTATTGTATTTATCTATGTGTTTTTCATGAATGCTAGGCAACACCTATCTTGATTCTTCAGATCCAGAAGTGTGCTTGGTATACTAACCTATACTGAGCTCTGCTGCTGGTTAATACAGTTGTTTAGTGGTAGAAACAAATTATTGTAATTTTTCAAAGGGAAATAGAATTGGATGTACTCCAGTGTGGATACAAGGATTATATTCTTCTGGGATTTTCCTTCTTTCTCTACTTTCATTGTAGCATAGTCCTAAAGAAGGAGCAAAATCCATTTTGCAACAAAGATGGGTACAATATAGCTCTGAAGACGTAGTGTTCAAATTACGGAGATAGGAACCTTGGCTATGGAATTTTTGACAGTAATTTTATTATCAGAAGCGTTCTGTTTGGGGGAGGGGTGCCTTTAAGTCAGTGTTGCATCTGGAGAGCTGGCTGGACTCATCCCTGCTGGTTTTGTGGCAGGTCTTTCTGAAGTGATTTGTCCTTGCTACCTTCCTAGGGCTGAGAAAAAGTGACTGGCCAAGGTCATCCAGCTGGATTTGTACCAGTTTCTAGCCTGGTGCCTTAACTACTACAGCAAAGTAGCTCTATACATTTTATAAAAAGAATAGCCAACATTGTTTTTATTTATTATTGTTTTACTAGCTTTTGGATGGCTAGGAGTATTACTTTCCTTAAATGCTGCATGGAATTTTAGCAGTAGCAATAGCACTTAAACTTATATATCGCTTCACAGTGCTTTACAGCCCTCTCTAAGCAATTTACAGTGTCACCATATTGCCCCCAACAATCTGGGTCCTCATTTACCAACCTTAGAAGGATGGAAGGCTCTGAGTCAACCTTGAACCGGTGAGACCCGAACTGCCAAACTGCTGGTAACCGGCAGTCAGCAGAAGTAGCCTGCAGTACTGCATTCTAACCACTCACTGCAGTACTGCATTCTAACCATGGCTTTTACCAAGCTTAACAAAAACATCATTTTTTTCTTTTAGTTCTTTCCAATTTGTCTTTCTTTCCCCTTCCCCCCTCCATGCTTATAGTAGCTGTTGCAGCTGCATTACCACATTACAAATTTAGGCCATTTATTCTTGTATACTTCTTTTCTCATTTTAGTGAAAGTGATCTTGAGGAGGTACTGACATTTTACACACATAAGAATAAATCAGCAAGTGTCTTCCTGGGAACAAATCCTGGAGCTACAAAACATAGTAATAGCCAATTGGAAAATAAAAACAAAGGAAGTGAGTATTCATTTCTGATACTTTCAGTATAATTGTAAAGAAGCAAATGAGGAATATTCTTGGGTTTTTTTGATAAAGTTATTTGGATTCACTCAAAGTTGTGTTCTTCCTGTTGAAGTGGCTGGGGCACACTCTAGTGGGATCTTCTGGATTGAATTTAAGTCTGTGATTCCTGAGAGGGTTGACAAAGTCTTCCAATCTATGAGTTTGCCCACTTATTTATTAGATCCTGGGTTTTCCTGGATTATTAAACCTGCCTAGGAAATGACCTGTGCTTGGTCCATGCAATGCTATCACAGAAGAAGGAGGTTGTCCCCCTCTCTTTGAAAGAAGTTGTAGTGTGCCTCCTTCTGAAGAAACCCATGCTGGATCTAACACTGCCAGATAGCTATAGTCTCCCACCTTCCCTTTTCAGAGAAGATAGTTGAGATGGTGGCCAGACACTAGTTGCAGAACAAATTATAGTAGTTGGAAGAAACAAATTATCTTGATCCATTTCAATCAGGTTTCAGGCCAGGATACAGTATAGAGACAGAATTGGTTGCATTTGCTAATGATATTTGACAGAGCTGGAATGACGGTGATGCATCCATCCTTGCGCTTCTTGTTTTCCATTCACTTTTGAATACACTCAACCACAGTATCCTTCAGGGGTGGATTTGAGGGATGGGAAGTACTGTTTTATTATAGTTCTCTCCTTCCTCCTTGTGTTGACAAGAAGACAGAGGTCACATCCCTAGCCCCTTGCTTGTGGGATGCCTCAGGTTTTGAGATCCTCACCCCTCTTAACATTTATGGGAAACTGATGAAGGATATCATACCTCAATTTGAAGTCCAGTATTATTGGTAGATTGATGATTCTCAGTTGTATATATTGATCCCAGGACATCCAAGCAATGTCAATAACTTGATCCATTGTTTAGATGCTGTCTAGAGGACAGGGAGGAACACACTTGGGCTCAGATTGAGTGGTTATTATCTGAATCTCTTGAATCTGTAAATATTTAATCTCTGGTCTTGGATGGGGATCATACTTCCCCATTTAAGATTAGTGTACACCCTCCACCCCTGGGCTCTTCTTAGAATCACAGCCCCTGCTCAAGCTAGTGTGCCTGTTGCATTCTTTCTAAATATGAAAAACCCTTCAAATAGTCATGCCCTAATCACTTCTCAGGTGGATTACTTGCAATGCACTCTACATTCAGCTGACCTTGAATCCGTAGCTGTCACAAAATGTAATAACAAGACAGTGATAGGCAAGTTATGTTATGTTTGTATATCATCCCTGCTTTGTTACCTGCACTGGCTGCTAAATGGTTTTTGGTTGCAAATCAAAGTGCTGGTTACATGGCATAGAGCCTGGTTATCTAAGGGATTATATCTGCCCATTTAGTGAGATTGAGCAGAGTGAGCATTCTTCAGGTTGCTTTATATTATCTATGAGGACCTAGGTCAGCGATGGCGAACCTTTTTTGGCTCGTGTGCCATAAGTGGGGAGAGCGCAGGGGGGGTCATGTGCGGGTGTGACTCCCCTTTTTTTGCATGCTTTTTTCACCCTCCCCAGGCTCCAGAGGCTTTATAGGAGCCTGGGGAGGGCGAAAACAGCCTCCCCCCCCCAGAAGCCCTCAGGAGGCTTCAGGGACCTTCAGAAGGCTTCCCTTCCTTGAAGCCTCCGGAGCAGTCAAAACGACTCTCCGAGCAAACCGGAAGTGACTTCTGGTTTGCTCGGAGAGTCGTTTTGAGCACTCCGAAGCTCGTGAAGCCTCCGGAGGGCCTCTGGGGGGGGGGGGGGGGGGCTCTTTTTGCCCTCCCCAGGCTCCTACAAAGCCTCTGGAGCCTGGGGAGGGCGAAAAATGGCTTTTAAAAAAGGGTGAACTTAGTTGGCCAGCGCGTGCCTGCCTTTGGAACAGCAGTCCCTGGAAATTTGTATGCCTCCCCCGCCCTATTTCTGTTCTGTTTTGGAACTTGTTGAAAATATGACTTTGTCCCCAAGCCCGGGGTTAGGTTGGATGCTAAGCTTTTATTTATCTTTGTTTGTTTGTTTGCTTTCCAGTTGCATATGCATTTTATTGTTTGGTTTTTCTTTGTGTGCATTTAAGCTGTCTAGGGTCTTTTGGGCTTCAGAGTCTCCAAATCAAACAAATCAATTAACCAACCAAGCAACCAACCAACCAACCAACATGTTTCATAGTTTAGTCTCTCTGATGGATATATGGAATGTTAAAGTATTTTAAATAAGTAAGAATTTCAGTTTTAAGAAGGATTTTTATTTGCAGATGCAATTAATCACAGATTATTTGCTGTAGTAGAAAATGTCATACTGAAAATCATTATCATACATCGCTTATTTTTCTTCTAATTTGGAAAACTCTTTTCAGATCACTCAGAAAAGATGGGAAAAAATGAAAAAAAGCAGTCCCAACCTCCAGTGGAGAAAGAAAATGTGGTAGAGCAGCCGAGAGTTGAGCAACCCAAAGGAACTAGTTTACCCAGTAAGAAAATTGGAAAAAGTAAATTTGCATAGTTAGACTCTGACAAAACTTTAATGGTTTTTTGTTGGCTTTCTCTGTCATGGTGTCTTTCCTATGGAACAACCTCCACCCAGAGAAGGTGTGTGAAGACTTGCCTCCTCCCATGATATAGCTGTCTTTATATTTTTATAAGGGGGCCTTGACCAGGTTTTTGTATGTGTTGTTGTATGTGTTTTCCTGTTCTTGATATTTTATATGTTATATTTGCCATCCAGGATTTTGCTGGATATATGGCACCTTTATAGAAATCTGTCAACAGTATTAAATACCTGGGGGTGTAGATAAATAACAATCTGAACTAGTCTCTGCACGTCATCCTTAGTGAAGCATGCAAACCAGCATCTGCATTTCCTGCATCGGATGTGGAGAGCACATGTTTCTCCTTTTGTCCTAGTCACATTTTACAGAGGCATGATTGAGAGCATTTTAACAAACTGTTAACATCACTGTTTGGTTTGGCGGTAGCAGTACCTTGGATGGAAAGTCCATACAGAGAGTGGTAAGGACAGCTGAGAAAATTATAGAGAAGATTATATCCTGTTATTCAGGATACTGCTTATAAGCATTATGTGCTTAAAGCTCAAAGCATTATTAGAGATCCCACACACCCACTTTATGGTCTGTTTCTGTTGCTCCCCTGTGGGAGGAGGTTTCTAAGTACCGTATTTTCACGACCAAAAGCCGCACCGGATTATAAGCCGCAGTATCAGTTAACGTTAATTTTTC